GCTGGACCACAAAGAAGGCTGACCACTGAAGAATTGATGCTTTTGAATTGTGGTGCTGGAGGAGGCTCTTGAGAGTCCCCTGGACATCAAGGAGAACAAACCTATCAGTTCTAAAGGAAATCAACCCTGAGTGCTCACTGGAAGGACAGATCCTGAAGCTGTGGCTCCAATACTGTACTTTGGCCATCTCATGTGAAGAGAAGACTCCCTGGAAAAGACGCTGATGTTAGGAAAGTGTGAGGGCAAGAGGAGAAGGGAATGACAGAGGATGAGATGGTTGGACAGTGTTACTGAAGCGACCAACATGAATTTGACCCAACTCCGGGAGGCAGTGGAAGATAGGAGGGCCTGGCGTGCTCTGGTCCATGGGGTCACGAAGAGTCGGACATGACTAAATGACTAAACAATGATGATGATTGAGAGATAGATTGCTTAGGGCAACTCAAGGTCTTTGCTCTGCCCCCTCCTGTAAAACTACCAGCTCCCAGCCTCAAATGGAGAAAATATATGGGATGAAGTTGGGCGCAATGTAATCTTACAAGAAATTTAATTAGAATTTAGGAAATTTGTTTAAATCACCAGTTAATCGTGGACTATATTTATGACCTAAGGAAGTATACATTCAGCCTTGGTTTCTTATTTCAGTAATAGTATATACAGCAGAGCTGGATTGATCTCTCAGTAGTTCAGTTATCTGGAGGTTGGGTGTTCAAGGCCTCTTATGCCTCCTGCAAGTAGAGCCCACCTGTTTGGTCTTGGGCAATCTACATAGTCCCAGGGTCCCCCCAGAAGAATGGAATGGTCAACCAGCTCTGAGTATTCTGTAGCTGGAAAACTCTGAGAACGGTCACTATAAGTCAGATTTAACTTGACAGTACATGATGATGATGATTATATATAACAGGACTGGCCCAAGTGATTTTGCTGTTGGAAGTGAAAAATAAGAGAATGCCCCTCACCAATACCAGCACCTGCCACCTAACACAACCATCTTACTCTGCTGTGCAGTAAATTTGCCAGTCCTGATTTATAGTTGTCTTCTTCCCAGGCCACGACAAAACTACAAAGGATGTTGCATATACACAAGGTTACATAATAATGAGCCAAACTGCCAGCTTAGGCAGTTTGTAACAATCAAATATGTTGCTTGCATAGAAGGTAAATTGGCAGGCAGTAGGAACTCTTTTCATAGATCATGCTGCCGACCTATTTCATTAATGGTCAGCCGGGACAGACTCATTAAAATCTGGCACACAGTTGCAGAGAATCTACTCAGTGGCTTATTCGTACGCTGCCCCCATCAGCACATTGTTGCTGGATATTGAATGCAGGTAGTTTGATTAATGTCAGGGAAACACTTTCAGTTGTATATCTGGAAACATATTTTGGATGTTGGAATTCTGCTGAATATGTGAGCAGACGCCATTGAAAAGATCCAGAAACAAACCATTATTTTTCATTGAATAATTTGGGCAAAAACCTTTGGTCCTTGTGTGCCTTTGGTCCTACTTGCATGTAAAAAAACAAAACAGTCTCCAAAATTGCTGTTCTGTGTATGCAGGAAATGTAAATGAATAAGAGAGAAACAGGAGAAAATTATAGCAATTACTAAAGATGCATGAGAGGTGCATGTCTGTGGCACATGAAGATGCTTCATGAACCTACCAGGTTTTGGTTGTTGTGGGTTTTTCGGGCCACCAGGTTTTGTTTCTTCAGAGTTCTATGATTGCGCCAAAGTTGTTGCAAACAGTGGCAGCTACAAACCAGTTAACTGGTGCATGTGTAACTAATTTCAATTTCTAGCAGTTTTTTAAAAATCCAGATGGACAGAAACTCAGGTTAAAATAGATACTGAAATCTGATTCTTCTAAACTTAAGGCTAGCCACCCCAACGTGAAAAGTTTTGTGCAACTTATTATGAGATTTTGTACAGTTAAAACAATACTTGTAGAAAACATGGTCTTGCCTGCAGAAGCATGGTTGATAGTAACCAGATTCCAGTTGCTAGTCTCAATGAGAATGGACCTGTTGAATCAGTTACTGAAAAGTGAAGCGACATGTAAATCCCACTGATTTATTGGGCACTATCGCACTTGGGACTGCCAGTTGGATCAAAGACATTGTGTGCAAAAAATACTTTCTTGGGGGTAATACCCTCCCTCCCTCCCTTCTTTCCTTCCTTCCTTCCTGAACATAATCAGGTTGTTTTCCGGCATTAGCTGTGTTCGATAGGGCAGGGGTCCCCAACCGTTTTCACCCTGCAGACCGGCTGGGGAAGGTGGGGTACCCCCCCATGCTTGTGCACATTTGCAAATGAGCGCTCTCGTGTGTGCAAATGAGCATGCTCATGCGCATGCGCAAGCCACAGCGCGCCACTCACATGGGCATGCTGGAGGGGGGTGAGTGCGTGCGGGGTGGGGCGGGAGGTCTGTCTCCGGGGCCCGGTCCAGCTCAGGCCACGGACCAGCACTGGGCCGTGGACTGAAGGGTTGGGGACCTCTGCTATAGGGAATGGAGATATTTTTTTAAAGCACTAATTCACTCTGATGTTGCTTAACTTTATTTCTTCACTGTTCTGATTCTTATGTATTAGAAAATGATGAAAAGAGTCACTATAAGTCAAAATTTACTTGATAGTATACCATTTTTAGCTGGCTGGATAGCTTAGTGAGTTAGGTGTCTAGGTGCAGAGCCAGAGGTTGGGAGTTCAATTCTCCCTCGTGCCTCTTTGAAGAAAAGCCAGCTTGTGCGGCCTTAAGCAAGCTGCACAGTCTGAGAGTGCCCCCCTCCCTAGATGAAGGGAATGACAAACCATTTCTGAGTACTCTAATACCTAGAGTTTTTGAGTGCCTAGAAAACTCTGAAAAGGTTGCTGTAAGTCTGAATTGACTTGATGACACAATCATTCTTCTTATTACTGAGTTATAAATAAGTTTTAACTTCTTCTTCTGTATCTTGTAGGCTTCTCTGAGGCACACATTTGGGGGAGGATGAAAACAGGGCAGGAAATATTTAAATGCAAAATAATAGCAACAATGATACATATTCAGGGACCCTGGCTTCACTGGCTTGTGGATTGTATGGGTTAAATGTGAGGGAACATGACACAGGCTTATGTGGTGGACCAACCAACAGGTATTCCAGATGCTTTCTGAAATTTTAGAATTCAGGAGGTCTGGAAGCTTCTGAAAGGAAGCTTCTGAAAGGAAGAATAGACCCTATTCTCTCCAGTATTTTGATACAATACATTCTGGGACAATAATGACTTTCCAGAAATATTTTTTTCCAAGTGCCACTCTTTCCCTTCCATTTTCTATAAAGGAGGGCAACTATGGCCAGAAACCCTTTCATTTTATAAGACTATACTCTTCACCTAAAACATGACAGCACTTGATAATTTTATGAAAAATGAATATAATGATATGATGAAACTGTCCAAAACCAGACAGCAGTATGGGTGGCTATGGGTGGCTTCAGCTATGGGCAGCTTCAGCATAATCCTTTTTGGAAGTAACTTGACAAGCTCTACAAGAAGAGCAGAATTTATTATGGGGTATGAATGGCATTAGAGCTTGAGTTAATTCTGAATAACATGAAAGCACTGTAGTGATAGCTTAACATTTTGAGATGTTTTCTGTACCTTTCTGTACAATTTTTGCTGCAGCAGTATATGCTCAGACTACAATTGTGCTATAAACTTGTCAGTGACAGTGTCCAGAAGTGTTTCTCAGAGGGGAAATGGGTGAAGTCTTAAAGTGACCACAATAAATGATTCATTACTGTATTTGGCAGACTTCTTGCAGAAGCTAGGATGAAAATGGATGTGAGCTTTTCTTTTAAAGGGAAAACGTTGTTCTCTATAAGATTGAATAGTGGGTTCCTTAATTATTTAAGCATCAAAGGATCATCTACCATATTTTAATTTTAATCTTAGTATTGCTGTGTGCAAACTTATCAGCTGGCAGTACGTTCCACATATACAACTGTTTCTGTGGTCTTTGTTTTTACTAGTTACACATTCCTCCTCAATGTCCTTGATCTTCATTGTCTTGTCAGCTCTTATTTCACAGGTTTCAGTTTTCCCTCCTTACACTGCTAACCTCTGTTGTGTATGTCAACAGTGTACTTTTAATTTGCCTGTTCCATCAGTCCTCTAAATCAAAGATAAACAAATTGAGAAGTATGATGTTTCACAACTCAAGAAGATTTGCTCATTTCTACATACTCCTAAATCTGAAGATATGGAAGACAATACTTAATGTCCAGTCTAGTTGTTTATCATTTGAATTGGAGTCTCCTTACAACATTACACCTACTCTTGCTGCCCAGAGTAGACCTTTGGTCTAGATCACTGGTTCTTAACCTTGGGTTACTCAGGAGTTTTGGACTACAACTCCCAGAAGCCTTCACCACCAACCGAGCTGGCTGGGGTTTCTGGGAGTTGCAGTTCAAAAACATCCGAGTAACAAAGGTTAAGAACCACTGGTCTAGATGGGTGGGATATATATATATAAGTATAGATAATCAGAGAATGTCCTTGGACAGAGCACAGGGGGCTTACCACAACATTTCTGAGGTGTTGTGTCCCATCCTCAAGTCATGCACTTTCTCTTCCTTACATGCACCCCTAAAATAAGGGATGGGGCAGGTAAACAGATGCTTGTAAGCCTCCTCCTCTTTGTAAGCTGCCTTGATTGTTTTTATAAAGTTGAAAGAAGAGCATTATCGACCTAAATCCAACTGCTAGATCCAGTTAGAGGATACTCATTGGAACAATTGTTGAATAGCAGGTCAATACTTACACAAACACTATTGATTCACCGGATTTGTTTAGTCAAAACTAGCAGTTCGATCCAAGCTAAAAGGTGTCATCCATTGTTTGTGACAACAAAGCTTTGTTGGGCTTTGTTGTCACAAACAAGTTAGAACCTGAAGATGTAGCCTACATTAGAACAAATGATGCATTAAGCAGCTTTCACAATGTGCATTCCCCTTTCTAGCTGAAACCAATTGAGCAGAAGGAACCCTACCATTTCACAGATGTTCCTGAGGCATGGTGCCCTTCTCAGGTAAGAAGGTCTTCTGTTTTTCACATACTGTTTAAAATGCTACCTTCCGATCCTCATATATTCAAGTCAATGCCTGGCCTGGATAACTGTGTGTTGTAGGGCTGGCCCAAGGAGTGGGACAGTTAATGGTGTTGTGTGAGATCAGATAACTAAACCTTGACAAGTTGTTGGCATTGCAAGAATGGCCATTTTAGGCATCTAGTTAATGGTGATTTCAGTTTTATTTTTATTTTTAAAAAGTTCTTAGTAGACCCTGACCTTTATGGTTAGTTTCACAGGAAGTGAAAAGGGCAGTAAAGGTATTCCCTCAGCACCATCTAAGCACATTCTATTAAATGACGGTGAAGGACATTTGTTCATTTGCTGTACATCACTCTGGAATGATGTTAATGTGAGACTGAAAATGGCAGAGAGGCATTTTGAGATCAAATGTGTTTCTTGGTCAATGTAAATTTTTCATTTGCCATTCAAATGTGGGAAAGGGAAAAACAAATTCAAAGGTCACTTGTGGAAATGGCTTTGTTGCAATTGCTGTTCTCACTGAGAAAGGGGAAAGAGCCATAATTTTAAATAGAAATACTCATTTTCATTTAAAATTACAGTACTGGGTTTTTATTACTAATTTTTACAAGGCTGAAATAATTATGTTCTCTATGTACCAGAAATATAGATCTTTTCTCAAATTTACAGTACTATGCCAAGAATATTTTTTTAAAATAGCTTAATTCATTTGGTACATTTTTATCATATATGCTTTCCATCAAGAGACTTTAAAAATTGTGTACCAAAGGCTATCAAACAGCTTCCCATACACATGCTGCCTAGAGTTAGTCATGCTTAGGTTCAGCAAGAAGATGGTACCATTTGTCCTTAGGCTACAGCCTTGGATAATTTACTGTTTAGCTCCTAAAAGATTAATGGCCAGCCAACATACCAATTTTTATCATGATTAAAATTTGAGAGTAACCCTATCAAATTTAACCTGAGGTGTGGTTAAGCAAAAATAAAAAAACACTATAGAGCTTCATTCACAATGGTAAGATATTTGTTTTTAGAGCAAAGCTCCATGTGATGTGTTTCTGAAGGCCAACCAGAATTACAGATAGCTCTTATTAGAAACTGAAATAATTTATTTTTCTAGAAAAGTGATTTCTACTTGCAAAAGGAACCTTTCAATGACCAATGACAAAATGACTTGACAGCACATGATTATTATTTTTATCCATTACAGTGGTCCCTCACTTAGCGATGTCAATCCATTCCAGAAAAAACATCGCTAAGTGATTTAATCGCTAAGCGATTTTAAAAAGCCCATAGGAACGTATTAAAACGCGTTTAATACGTTCCTATGGGCTAAAAACTTACCTTAAAGCAAAATTCCTCCATAGCAGCGGCCATTTTAGGTGCCTCTATAGCGAGGCAAAACAGCGGCGGCCATTTTTTTGCGGTGGCCATTTTGGGACTGTTGATCAGCTGTTTAAAAATGTTCACTTTGCCATGATCGCTTCCCCGCGATCATCGCAAAGCGAATTTTAAACATAGAGGACATCGCTAAACGATCGCTCCAGCGATGCCCAAAAGTCCATCGCAAAGCGATTTCATCGCTCAATGGAGCGATCGCTAAGCGAGGCACCACTGTATTGGGCTCCAAGTCTTACATCTGAGGTTCTGTCCACGTACAAGCATATGCACTCCACTGCTCAGTCGCTCTGGCGTTACCATGCAGCTTGGCTGTTGATAAAGGCTGCAGGTGGTGCATCATATCTGTTGACTAAAACAGCAATTCAATGCAGATATTCTTGATCAATCTTGTGGTTATCTCTGCGGCTGAATCTACGTTGCTGACTTCAGCCACAGTGCTAAGTGTCGACATTTCTCTCTCAATTGCTTTTGCTGTCTTATCTCCACAGGAGAGCCCATACTTCTTCACATACAGAAATAGTAACTACTCATCTGTTCCTGTGGAGTCCCAGATGGAAGCAGTATCTCAAGTATGGAAAACACTAGTTGCATAATATTTCATTACCTCTTACCTTCAGATAGAAAGGAGGAGGAGGGGAATTTGGCCCAAGTATGTAGTATATCCCAATGACATTTGCTAGATGGAAAAGTGTGCTCATCCAGACAGTTTATTGCTTTTTTCTAAAATGCTGGCCTTTTGTAATACAATGCTTGGTGACTTTCCCCCCAGGAAAGGAGCTATGGGACTAGTATTCCATGTTCTAATCGTCTCCCTTCAGACGCTGTTCCTACCTCAGGTATGGATTTTGGTTCTGCATGGAGGGCTCATCCAGATGGGGCACTTGTTCCATGAAATGAACTCATTGGTGCCAAAGCTCTTCCCACTCTCCCTGCTGTCCAAGCAACAATACCCTTTCTACTGAAACAACAGGGTTTCCCCACCACCCAAATTTCCTGGATGGTTTGCTCTTCCTTAGCCCATGCACATACCTCTATTCCTATTCACTAAAAGTCACATTTAAAAAACCACATTATTTTTAGAAATGACCCACTGCCTGTATGCTGTAGCAGGATGTGTGTTATTTCTGCATGATGGGACTTCCTTGAATTTTTAAACTAAGGATAAACTAGGTGTCAGAGTGATGGCAGCAGAGGGAAGAGGCAGTGGTATGGAGACCAGGAATGTCTGATGTGAGTGCATGCAGCAGTGCAGAAGGAAGCAGACAGAATATGCTAGGAAGCTTCTGAGCTAATCCTCTTATCAAAGGAGGCATCAAAGATGTCAGCAGCAGCAGTGCAGGAAGAGGTATCAGGAGGTGTTAACACAAGGACTAGGAAACCACAAAAGCAATGGAACCCAAACCATGGTACAATGGGAGAGGAAAATATGGGTAATTAATCAGAAGATATAGCCTTTCAGGAGTTAAAATTGTGTAAGAGCAAAGGGCTTCCAGTTTTTCACATGCTGAACCAGAGTGAAATGAAAAGTGATTTTGATGCTTACATAACAAGACAAAAGAGGGAGGGGAAAAGCAAAATGTGCTGCTTATATACCACCCCATGGCAATTAAGGCATTCTCTGGGGGGTTTACAGTTTATTTATGCTGGCTACACATTGCCCCCTCAGCAAGCTGGGTACTCAATTGACCCACCTTGGAAGGATGGAAGGCCAAGTGAACCTTGAGCTGGCTACCTCGGATTGAACCCAGGTCATGGGTTTTGGCTGAGGTACTGCAGTTTAACCACTGCACCACAAGGCCTCAATACAGATATCTTCTAGTCTGGAATGGTCAATTAGTCAATCACTCTATTTGCATACCATGCTTCCATAAATATCCTCAGAGTAGTTCACAAGAGAGTGAGACCAAAAATTAAAAATCTCTATTGAAGAAACATAAAAACAGTGTCATAGCAAGTACATATAAACATAAATAACAAAAAAATCAATACTTTCATTTTCAAAGAAAATAAAGCATGGAGCAGCTGAAGGAGGAAGAGCCGGCTGTTAGGGGAAAGTGGGGCTAGTTATAAATCCCAGCTGTTGATAGAAAAAAAGTAGATGATCAGCAGAGCAATCTTGAGTTCATGGAAAGAGAACAGAATGCCATTCTGATGCATAAATCTAGTCAAGTTATGTCATAGTAGGTAGAAATGGAGAAACCTCTAGGATGAGTGAGAAAAAATAAAATGTCTGGGACAGAACACATTAAGACACCAGGCAGAATTATTTCCTGATCTAGTACATGTATTTATGATTGAAACCATCAGACCCTTTAAATTAAAAACAGATAATTTTAGTCCCTCTATTATAACTAATAACTAGTAGCAAATGTGAAAAAGTATAATACTGAATTTAAAAACTTGCTTTATGCCAAACCAGATCATAGGTCTCTCTAACTTAGTAGTACTTGTCATGCTGACAGGCAGTGGTTCTGCAAAGATATGGATTGAGGGGTCTTTCTCAATCCAATCCAAAAATAAATGGAAATATCACTGAAGCAGCATAGTGACCACATATTGAGGGAAAATGAAATAATTGAGAAAAAACCTACTTTCCTCTCCTATGCAACTATTTCAGTTTCCTGTCATACCCATTAGACACACAACTTAAAACTACTGTCCTATAGTGTCTTATGGATAATTTTGTTTAAGAAATGGTCTTACACTTTAGGACTTGAAGCAAAACTATGTTGTTGTGGAAGAGATTTTTGGGAGGTAGAAGATTAAACCTGAATTATATCTATGGCCTTCCCCTAAGCTAAGCTTTCTTGGTGTCTGGATGTGAATGGCCATCAGCATTTCCTCCTTATCCAGTTGCTTTTCTGTATACTTCATACATTACAAATTAAATAATCTATCCTTTAACTTTAAGAGGGTTCAAGTACAGTTAACAATGTCAAGATGCCCTCTGTTATTTTGCCGTAACCGAGAGTTCAGTGCTATTCTATGATAGCTGCCTGTTGAGGAAGGCCATGAGAATCCTTCATGCTTAATCTTTCACTTCCCAAACAGTTTTCCTCAAGAGTTTCATTTTGCTTGAAAACTGCAAAGATCTGTGAATTGTTGTCCAAAAACAATGGAGATATGCTGCTGGAAAGTACGTGTTTACACCTTAGAGGGCAAATGAATAAATAACAATGCTTAAGAACTAAGGACCTTATAAATATTAATTTGAAAATATTTCACCAAAACGATTACATTTATTGGTGGCACTTTGGCCCATTGACTGAAAAAGTAATAAACTTAACAGTAATGTCTTAATATTAACACTTTATTTTCTAAGCTTTGCACTAAGCTAAAGTCTTAACGCCCAAAGATCAAAGTCATATTTAAAAGTAATCCACAGCAAGTCCAAAATCTGTATGCTTCTCAAGAGTCAGAAAATTATGCAACTGTAGTTCCATTGTCACTTGAATGTGCTTCTTTGTTTATCCAATGATTTAATTCTTATGTTTTTTTATCTATTATTCTATCTTAAAATGGAAATGGACTTCACAGTTGGATTGTTATGCAACAGTTTTGATAGCTATTATGAGAGTAAAGATGTGTACACTTGGACTTCAATAATTAACTAGTGTAGTCAAATAAATCCTAGTGCTTGAAGGGTCGGGGAGAGGGAAGTGTGCAAAATGTAATTATAGAAGACTATCTAGTGTAGGAAGGTCAATTTTAAGTTTACTGACTATTAATTAAGTAATACACCCTATGAAAACTTAATCACAAGACCATCTTGGACAAGAGTCATACCATAAATTATTTGTCTGATATTGAGAAAGCTCCCTGCTGCCAATTTCAATAAAGGCCAGTTTTTCAAAAGTACTTAGTGTTCACCTTCCAAAATTTATTCTAATGCAGGAGTGGAACTGCAACTTCCCACAAGTCCTAACTGGTATAACAAATGGTGAGGAGTCCAAAGCAGGGCTCTAGGTACACTGGAAACAGGTATAGGAATTACAGTGGTACCTCGGTTTACAAATGCCCTGGTTAACATAATTTTCAGTTTACGAAGCAAAATCCATGGAAAATCATGCCTCACGCTATGTTTTTTTCCTGGTTTTTTTTTTGGGGGGGGGAGTATGAAGAAAGTTTCCCCAGGATTCATTGTGCCTGGAGGTTTATAGCACCGCCCCCATTCCTATGGCAATCTGCATTTTGATTTACCTCTTTTTTTTGCTTTATGTAACATCCCGTAGAATGCATTAATTTTGTAAACCGAGGTACTGTACTACTGTATCTGATTCAATAGTTGATATTGAGTACTAAGTCACAACTATAGTAGTTGAATCAATGGAACTTGCGGAACAGTTGACTCACCAAACCCCTACTGATTCTGTTAGCTTACTCAAGTTGCAACTTGCGACTGAGTTTCAGCCATTGCCTCCAGTGGCTTCTAGTCCCAGCAAAGACCTTTTTATACCTGGGCTTCTCGAGTCCCATCTGATACTCAACTGCAGAGGTTTGGGCAGTAAAGGAAGATTCATATGCAGCATTTGGCCCTTGGGTCTTCTTGGGAGGAAAATCCCATGCACCTAAGGAGGGTGTTTCTCTTGAGGAGTCCTTCCCAGCAGCCAAGCACTCTGCCTTGGAGCTTCAAGCTGGACTTACATTTTAGTTTTCTCTATCCTGGTGGACTTGGTGGGTGCTCCACCTCTTCTGACCCAGCCAGGGGCTTAGGCTCCTGACTTCTCAAAGGTCCAGAGTGAATGAGGTTGGACAAGTTCTTCTTCCCTCCTGAGTTCCAGAGTGTCAGCACAGGGAGATGACAATAGTATCAAAAGACATATTAATGCACACTATCTGTAGTCATCCACAAAACAACACTCCAGTAAAGTAGAGCATCATTATGAGGATATAAGCTTGTAGTTGATATAGGAAAAGAGATGATGCACCACGTACTTCAAATTCATAGCGCATATGCTTCAGAACCACATATAAGATACAGTGTGCAAGATATAAGTGTCTCTCTAGAAGTATGTATTTGTCAAACACATTTTCAGCTCTGATTAAGAATCTAATAGGCATTCTGTATTTTAATATCCCTGTGATCCTCAGTTTCTAGAGTTTTTAGTGATGAATGTTGAATGGCAGCACTATGTTTGTCCTATGTCTCATTTTCCTAATAAGGGAAGATGATGCATTTATTGATCCCATTAAAAAATATCTACAAAATTTGAGTTGTAGCAAGGAATTCTATGCTTTATAGCGGCATCCTAGCCCTTTTCTGAAGGGGCTTTAAATGCTTGGTTCTCAGTTGACTAAAGATTGTCAGACTCCCAACACGTTACTAGACTTTTAAATTTTGTATGTATGTAAAAAACAGAAAGAGAGCAAAACAATCTTGTTGGACAAGATCAAGGAAATCATGTACCCTCAAAATCTGCTTTCATGGGAGGAAGACTTACAAGGAAAGGAGCTATGATGGTTTGTATCGTGTATGTTTGCCGCTGGGTGCCCAGAGTGTTTAAGGTAATTTGGCTGGACATGAATTTTAAACAGCATCTCGTCTTCCTACTACTTCTCCCCAGAAATGTATTTTTAATGCCAAAGACCTTCTGAAAGTTCTATCATTCTTTCTCTTTCCTTTTTTATAGTTCATAACTTGAGGCCAGCAGACATTAAAGTTATAGTTGCCCTTGGGGACTCACTAACAGTAAGTGCAGATCACTGAATGTGCTCTATTAAACTGATTGATATAAAAGACATTTCTGAATCCTAATTTGAGACAGCAGGAGCAAAAGATCTTCATGGCCAACTGTATTTTCTATACTGTCTTCTGCTAATCTTCCATTATGGTGAGCTATTAATCTTGTTTGGGTTATGAATGCCATCTCTTATGACCTATTTGAATATGTTAATTTTATTTATTTGATTTTTATCTTGCCTTTCTCTCCTAAAGGGACCCAAGTGGCATACTGATGTGTGTTAGCACTTTCTGGCATTACTGTGTGGTAAATAATCAGGCTAGGCTAATTTCAAACTAAATGACTATTCTGTGCAAGGACTAAATGGGCGTTTCTGGGCAGAAATTGACTGAAAGTGAATTTCGATGTGCCACACTATCTGATTGTCCTTGCCTCTAGATTAATGGCTCCCAATCTTGGGTCCTCAAATGTTCTTGAACTCCCAGAAGTCTTTACCAATAGCTGCACAGGCCAGGATTTCTGGGGGTTTTAGTCCAAGAATATCTATGAACACCAACCTGGGAAGCTGCTCTGGGCACTTCATGTGGCTGCCATAATATGTGCAGTTTAATGCTAGCCTGTGAGCCAGCCTGGATTCATGATGTGCCCAGGTGCCAGCGACATGTGTCTGATTCTAGGACAATAGATGGTGCAAGTTTCATATGTATTTCTGTCCTCTGTGTGGACAGAAGAGACAGGTTGTAGCCTGAGATCTATCCATAATCCCATTTAAAACACACAGCTTCTTTGGATTGGCTTAGAGCAGAAACACGGGATTATGTTTCTATCATTATCTAAGCAAAATCAAAGCTTAAATGTTAATATAACGCTAAGTGAGAAAATCATCGGTGTCAAATCAATAGCATTATATAGTTATTGAAACAAGATGGAACCATGACGGAAGTGCAGTATGTTTTTAAAAGTGGGGAAGTGTCTTTTTGTAGCAGCAGCTTGTGACTCAGGTGGCTAATTATGGTGTTTCCAGCAGCATGGATCACAGAGCTTAGTTGCTGTTGTTTATAATTGATAGTCTTGACTTGAGCCCATCAAAAAACTGGATGCATACTCCATTTTTCAACCAGTATAAAACTGATTGTGTTAAAGAGAGGCTTTTGGAGGTGGAGGGAACAGCTTGTGTGACTGCCCTTCTGCTCAGTGGCCCTTGTGGATTTCTCCCCTGTTAAACATGATTGCATTTCACCTTGAGTGAAGGTATTCTAGCAGAGTTCTTGTTTAGTATTCTTGTGTGGATGCATAACAGATGCAAAAAATTAAAAACTCTAAAGACTTCTGGCTTATCGAGGACATAAGCCATTACAATGGTGCATAATGTGAAAGAGGACCTACACAAGCTAAACAAACCATGGACTATTGATCTGTGGCTTCTTTACTTTGATGTGTGAATCTAGTAACCATGCTTGCCTCTTCCCTAACAACCAGAAACATAAACCAAGAATGGACCATAGCCATCTTTGTGGCTTGTTGGCGGATAGAGATCAGCATGAACCTTGGTTTAGAGGTTCATGACAGTTTATATGCACAGCATTCTGTTCCCCAGCCTGCCTGGCCAATGATCCACTCACCAGTCGGAACATGCTCCTGTCCTCCTCTTCAGCTCTTCGACCAGTCTCCAGCAAGAGCTTGGGATTGCCTATCCTGCCTCCATGTCTGAGTGGGTGATCAGCCAAGAAGGTGGGGCAGTGAAGCTTGTGCTCCTGCTAGAGATTGGTTGAACAGCCAAAGAGGAGGAGGAGTGGAGTGCGTACCAGCTGGTGAGTAGGGGATCTTGTGGGAGAGTGGGGGAAGGGAATGGTTCATACTCATTTCTAGGGGAAAGTCAAATTGGATTTCTGGGTGGAAGGTCAGTGGAATTGGAGCAGTTGAGCACCATGAACCAACATGTTCCTTCATGAGCCCGAATTCGAAATAATTCTGACTTGCCATTGCATACAAATACAATCAATGTGACCTGGATGCAATATGGCTTATAATTCCATCCTTCTGTACCGATCAGTATCCTAGAGGATATGTTTTCCCATGATTTAGCATTCTTTCATCATTTTATTGATAGGCTTCTTGTCAATTTATTTTGAGTGAGTTCCCTTTCTGTTTTCTGCCATTGTGGAATAAGCAAGATGTGAAAGATAATAAAACACTCTTGAATAGTATGTCCAAGAGACAAGCCGTTTCATTCTATGTCAGTAAGACAGGTTGTTCTGAAAGCCTTTTATCCTTTTCTGTACCAGGCAGGAAATGGGGCAGGTTCTTCACGATACAATGTTTTAGATGTTCTGACACAGTATCGAGGCCTTTCGTGGAGGTGAGTACCATAAGCCAAATTCTTTAGATAATTTGAAATTCTTCAATCTGTTGAGGGTGTTTTTCTTCTTAATCAATATCAAAATCAGCTGCACTTTTCTTCAACCTGACATTGACAGTACAATTAAGAATAATTAGGAGTTTCCGTCTTCACTGCAAATATTATGTTGTCTTGCTCAAAACCTGTGTAGGTCACCTCACTAACAAAGGGCAGCCCCAAGAGATGTGACCTCCAGGCTTCTGTCATGAGATTTCAGGACTCATCCACTGAGAGACAGCAACTGAATTCTTGTTTACCGATGGCTTTATCCTTTTCCTTCTTTCCTTCTTTCTTTCCTTAGTAACAAAGCTGCTATTTTGTACTAGTATGTTTTTATTTTCATTTGCTGCTGTTGACTGCTATTAGGCTGGCAAATGAAACAAGCTGTGTCTAAATGGAACTATGTGCCTAGTACCCAGGTATGCCTGCCATTCACACATTTGTCCATCACAAGGAGGATCTTTAACTATGTAGTAATTATGGGTCCATGGCTCCTCCAAGCAATAAAGAAGCCCTACTCCTCTTGCATAGCTGAGCTCTGTGTACATGCATCACTGCATGCATATATTGATACATGTATTCTCCCTCTGGGTGGATTACAGCATAAATATGGAAATAACACTTTGCCTTTCCAGCAAGTTGGGCACTCATTTTGCAAACTTCAAAAGGATGGAATACTGAGTTGATCTTGAGGTGGCTACCCGAACCTGTCAGAATCAAACTCAGGTCATGGACAGAGGCTTGATTGCAGTAATGCAGTTTAATCACTGCACCATGTGGCACATTTGCTGGCCAAATGTGAACACTTTGTGTATGTACAGTGGTGCCTCGCATAACGAGCGCCTTGTATAGCGACGAATCCGCATAGCGATCCCTCTTCTGGGATCGCTAATGCGGAGGCATCACGTTGGCCCCAATGGGCGAAACTCGCATAGCGAAGATCAGTAAGCGTTTCGCTGTGGATCAGCTGTTCAGCGGTTCCAAAATGGCCGCCGGAAGCCCCGAAATGGCCCCGTACAGCGTTTTTGCACCCTCCCCTCACTTACCAAGGGCGCGAAAATGGCTGCCAGACCCAGGAAACTTCGCTAAACGGTGAGTTTTCAGCTGATTTGGAATGGCTTTTTACTTTCCATTTAATGAAGTTTTCACATAGCGAAGGTTAATCAGGAATGGATTAACCTCGCTATGCGAGGCACCACTGTATATCTACCATGTGCATTGGTTACAGGAGTATGGCTAGCTAATGCAGCTTTACAACCCCCTCCCCCTTCTTGTATTCTTTCAGTGTATCTGAGTTGTTTAAATCCCTCTGAATATGCATGGCAGGCAAGAATTTTGAATCATTTCTAGAATCCCTGCATCTTTTTAACCTAATAGATCCATCTATTATTCCAAACATAGCATTAAATTTTCTCACAGTTGGGGAGGTTACCAAGAGCTGCACCTAGACATGTCAAAAATAGTATTAATCTCCAATTTCCAAGATACAGTATATGCAAATTTACGAAACACTTTATGCCAGCCTTTCCAAACTCTCCTCCAGCTGTGTCAGGCTCTGCCTCTGCCTGCGGATGTAGTTCACACATCTGGAGAGCATCAGCTGGGGAATGGATGTTCTGTTCTGCAGATAAATAGTCGTAACATGTTGAATGGGCTGCACACAATTGGTGCTTGAAGAACTTGCATTGTTTCACTTGTATGCTGAGAAAAGAGCACCTTCTGTCCCCTATTCCTGTTTAAGAGATTTCTGAAAGTTTCCCTGGAGATCATAGAATCATAGAATAATTCAGTTGGAAGCATCCTGTAATGCCATTGAGTCCAACCCCCTGCTCAATGCAGGAATCCAGATCAATGCAGATCTGAAAGACAGTTGTTAAATTTTTCCCTTGAATGCCTCCAGCATTGTAGTGCTCACCACCTCCCAAGGTAATTGGTTCCAGGTACTGCTCTAGCAGTTAGAAAATTTGTCCTGATATTCGGCCTAAATCTGGTTTCCTGTAGCTTGAGACCGTTATTACATGTCCTGCACTCTGGGATGATAGAGAACAGATCCTGCCCCTCCTCTTTATGACTATCTTTCAAGTATTTGAAAAAGCCCTCTTCTATCGCTCCTCACTCTTCTCAAGGCTGAAGGCTAAATATGCACAGTTCTTTCAGTATTTCCTCAGAGGGATTGGTTTCCAGGCCCCTAATCATCCTTGTTGCCCTCTTCCAAATTTGCTCCAGTTTGTTGGCATACCAAACTAATATTTGCCGTACAACAATTCTCATGTTGGGTCAAAAAGAATAAGACTCTCAGAAGAAGTTATGTTCAGATATAGGCCCTAACTCTATGCAAGGTCAGATAGATTGCTGCTGTACCTGCTCCACTTCCTGTTTTTGAAAAGCATTACTGCCAATTGCGATGGGAAAGCAAAGTGTTTCTTTGTATATGGGAAATCGTGGTCCAAGTCTCTTCAATTCTGAGTGAGCTAATATGGCAAGGACAGACAAGCTGCTGCTTTCCTGATGTTGTAAATGATAAACCTCAGAAATCCTTGCCCATATGCCATTCCGTCTGCAACTTGTGGGAGATACAGTGCAAACCTTATACCGGGATGACTACTTCTGGGACTCACTCAACATTCTCAGCAAATGTTAGCAACAGGCCCAACTTCAGGAGGATGGCAGCGATAGTCCGTTTTTCCTGAGCCCATCCTTTCTCTTCTGTTGAACAACAGAGCTGTGAGCGTCACACTCCAAATACTGTTCTAAACTCATCTGCCGCCTTCCTGTTTAGAAAGACGCTGTCCAATGTATACAATTCATTGTCCTGCCAAAATGTCCATTTGTGATGCTCTGCCTTCTAGTCTGGATGATTAAGATAGGAGAAAGGAGAAGAATGAGAGATGGCTGCTGCTGATGATGATGATGAAGGGCATGGATTGGTTCTATGCTCTCTTTTCTCTGTTTCTCTTTTCTGTCTCTTGTCTCAGATAGGGCTCCTGTCACCATACTTGAGAACCCATGGATTGGACTACCTGTGGTGTTATTCATGTGGTTTGGCCTCACATGTGTGTTTCTTGTAAACAAAAATTGCTGGTGTAAGGGCACTTGGGTTGTCTACACATTATGCACAATCCAGGTGCTTCTACTAAAAGTAAACTGTGGGTGTTGCTTATAGTAGGGGAAAAGGTTATTTCAGGAAGGATGGACATTTGGGAGAGGGAGAAAAAAGGGCAAGTATGTAAGCCTTTTCCCTTCCACTATTTTCCCATTGCTGATCCTCCCTTCCTTTGGCACTTTTCCCTCTGCAGGATTTTTATTAAGACAGATAGCTGGAAAAACAGGATTCAGAGATGGCAACCCCTTGTAAGGGTTCTATCAGTTTAAAAAAAGCCTGGGATGATGAAGAAAGAATCTGGATAAATAAATCAGTAGATATGAATATTTGTGACAGACGTTAATCTAGGAATAGTCTTCAAACTTCTGCCCTTGTGTAAAACTGCATCATTGCAATCTTCTTGCTTTGGTTGCCTTCAGATTCAGCATATCAATGTTTTTATAATCCTGGATTACTAGTGCATGCATGTGAATGAAATCACTGGCCATGTGCCTGGGAGATCTGGGGAGCGGCAGCCTGAAACACATTCCACATTCTCTCAAAGCTTTCACACCCTAATGTTACTGCACAACAATCACATCAGCTATTCATTGAATAGAAGGCAAAATAGCGACTGAATATTAGACAGAAAGGGGGCAATATTTGTTTCTTATTTTTAGAAAACCCAGACCTATATAATGACTTGATCACCACCTTGAATGGAGAATATGCCCGGGATGAATTTGAGCCTCATGTACCCCTACATGGAGCTAAGTCATTGGGAGTTGTACTCCAAAAAAGTAGTTCCCAATGTTCTGTGTTACAGGTGAATTGAACTATAAGGGTGCAAGTTTCTGTCATTTCCTGAGCAGAAATATATGATTCACAAGGCCATGCCCAGCTCATCACACCTGTTTTGTGGCCTGCTAGGTGCTTTTGTTAGCTTGGTTGTTGTGACCACCAATCTGGCTGTAAAACTGTGATGTTCTACCAGTTCCTGATTAGTCATATCAAGATGATGATTAATGGGCTAGAAACAGCTGATGTAGCAGCAGCACAGTTGAAACTGGGCAGTGGAGAGGTTAGTGATGACATTCATATAATATCAGTCTATGAGTGTAGTCAAACTGCTGGATAGCTCAGTGGCTTAGTGTTTGGGAGTTTGATTACCCAGTATGCTTCCCTCATAAGGGCTGGTCCCTTACAGTTCTACACTGCTGAGATTAATAATAATAATAATAATAAATAAATAAACAAACAAACAATTTTTAAGCCATCAGTTAAAATAAAAATCATTTGTGGAAGATTTGAAACATCGCCGGGGGCAGTCTGTGACTTATGACGCACAAATGCTCTCTAACTTTTTATGTTTCCTCTTCTTTCTCTCATCCCCACCCCCCACCCCATTCTGCAGTATTGGTGGAAATGAAGATATAAGGACAGTCACAACATTAGCGAGTAAGTGCCTGTTTTCTGTTTGTGAAGCTCCTCTTTCATAATTTATGAAGGATTTTGCAGGCTGGCAGGCAACTGGGCTATTTTGCATTCAGCAAATGGATGGAGCCAGGAGATTAGCACCACATGACTTGGCCGCATATGATTTAACAGCTTGTTTTGTTAATTTCACATGCTCACTGTCTGCATGCATGCTTCTCTTTTTAAAGATACTATTGTCATTATTCAACTCCAGATGATTTAGGAATGAATGTGGCTTGTTAATGTTATCATTTCTTGCCTCATACACTACTTCTCTGCCGCTCCCCAAAATTATTCAAACAAATTAGGCAACAGTCCAAACTGCAGGCATATTACAGACACTGTTGTAGCAGGAGGGAGGCCATGTTGATCAGAAGGATTTTGGGAGTTATAGTTCACACACAAAAAAACCTTTGCAAAACTCAGAGATCTTTATGGATTGACTCCAGATCTGCTGTCTGATTATGCAAGAGCTGCACTTAAGTAAAATGCTTTTACTCAAGTTTTTAAGGATCACCTTCTTCCCTATTCCACCCCTCATTCCATTCAGCATGTCCCTGTGTCTGTATTTATCTATATTTATGTTCTTACACTAGACTCTAGTGACTCAAAATAAGAAAAGCAAGTTCTGCTCCAAAAACAGAAATTGAAGACAATCCGCTCAGAAGAAAGCAACACGTGGGAATTTTACTTTTTGGACTGCAATTCCCAGAATCTGGCAGCTAGATGGTTAGGAAATTCTGGGAGATGTAGTTTCCAGTTTTCAGAGAAGTCAGAGAAATGTGTATATTAAACTTTATACGGAGCATAGCGTACAAAAAGATTAGATTATGCTGGGGGAGGAGTGAAAATTGGTGGAAGAAGCATCAATACTTTAAGATACAGTATGCAGTTGGCACCATATACAGTACTGGCAGAAAATAGCAGTGACTTGAAATGTCTGTGGAGGAAGGTTAAAGTGGAAACACGGAAGAGGGATTACAGTTGAAATTTAAAGTAACATAAATAATAAATATGAACAAATTACATGATTTTAATGTTGACAATGAAGAAAAGAAACTGTTGCTGGATTTCCATAGATCAGTTCAATCATTAATCATAATAGAGGCTGCAGCCATAAAAATCAGAAGACGACGTGAAAGGGCAGCTGTGAAGGCATTGAAGAAGATTGCTAAGTTCAAGGATGGGTACACCAATGGCTGGATCCCCAAACGTTCTTGGACAAAAACTTCCAAAGCCTTCACCACTTGCTGTGCTGGCCAGGATTTCTAGGAGCTGCAATCCAAGAACATTTGGGGATCCAAGGCTGAGAACCACTGCTAGAGTTCAAGGCTTAGCTCATCCATACTATGGTGTTTCTTATTGCTTTCTATGGATGTGAAAGCTCCACAAAGAAAAATACCAGCAGATATATCAGAACAAGAGAAGACTCAATTATGCTAGGGAAAAAAATGGAAAGCAGTAAGAAAAGAGGAAAAATAATATGGGATGAATTGTCTCAATAAAGGAAGCCATAACCTTTAACTTGTAAGACCTGAGCAAGGCTTTTAGCAATAGGACCTTTTGGAAGTCATTAACTCATAAGGTCAGCTAAAGTCTGAAATAACTTGATGGCATACACAACAGACAATTCCATTGGTGTGGCATTCATCCCTCACTGTTCCCTCCTGTAACTGCCACACAAATTTGCACTGCTTTTAAGCAGAGATATTCTGTTTTGTTGTCAGGGCTTATAGCAATAATGTTTCTGTCATCTTCTTTTAAAAGTCACACGGGACCCAGAACATCTCCCTACCACTGCTCAGTTATGGATGGCTTCCACATTTAATTATTTTTAAAATTAACTTCCCAGCCTTTGGCCTGAACCTTCCATCAATCAAATTCACTGCTAGCTCCAGTGTGCTGGTGTTATGAGACACATGAGGAAACAAAAACTAACAAAACCAGGTCATCAACACTATGCTATTCATAATTCGATAGAACCCTATCATGTTTCCTTTTCCAACAATTTTTCTTGAAATAAATATTCCCTCTGCATACTTTGATAAATCTTACTCCGGTGAAGTTGGAGAAGTTTAATCTTTATGATATCTTTAGTTGGCCCTTTGTCAGAGGGAGGAACACGAAAAGGGTGCACAGTCTTCTAAATATGATTAAAACATTATATGAACAAGGTACTTTCCCCCAAAAGCCCCCAACCAGCAGGATACTTGCTTGGGATGAGGGAGGCTAGAAACAGACACAATGCATAGCCCCTCAGTAAGAAAGGAAAATCCTTAATTAATATAAGTTGTCATTCAGGTCCTATTCTGAAGACACCTATATGTCAGGAACGGGTGGGGGTGGGGGGCTCAAAAGGAGAAAAAGCCAGAAAAAAAGAGCAGGGAGATGGCTTAGATGTAGGATTAGTGTAGGAAATGCTACCTACTTGGAAAATGGGATGCTGGGAACACGTTTATGGCTTCATGACACATCTTCTTGAAGCCTGAAACAGTGGGCCAATATGGAGATGGATACATCATGCATAGACCTTTGGAAAGTAATTACCCCATGAGCCTGGGACACAAAGACATGGTGCCTGGGGTTAGGCAGCCTCTGCTCTCAAAGTCTGTGTGACTACAGTTTTGGCTGCAGGCAGTTTCTTGAGCTACACTTCAAACATTGCAAAGGAAAAAAAATATTTTTGATTACTCTAAGTGATGCAGCGTATCTATGATAGTCTAGCACAATATAAAAAAATAACTCACCCTGCCCCTCTGCTAAGGAGTAGAAAAAGTAATTGATTTGCTGGTATTCTGAAGTAGCTCGCCTATTAAGCCATTTCATAAAATTGGAGATCAACAGTGGAAGGTGCTGGACTAAATAAGGTTGAATGAGGTCCATACAGTGGTACCTCAGTTTGTGAACGCCCCAGTTAATGTAATTTTTGGTTTACAGATGAAAATCCATTGAAAATAATGCCTCAGTTTACATTTTTTTTCCGCAATACAGACCAAATTTGCATTGCGCTGGGAGGTTTATAGTACCACCCCATGCATGCATTTCTATGGGAATCCACGTTTTGATTTGCACATTTTTGCATTACAAAAATGTCATGGAGAATGCATTGAATTCATAAACCGAGGTACCACTGTATGCTATTTGGATGTAAGGATTGCACTAAACGGCATATTGTATCTCCACCGGATCTCAAGCAAACCTATTTAGACCACACCACTCCACTCTACAATGGCCAGTGTAGATGAGTCTTCAGTCACCACTCTGCAACATCAATGTGCTTTCACTTTAAATGCAGACTGTTTTTAATGTCTTCTTCTGGCCTATGTGAGGTTCTAATGGTTCTACTGAAAAAGCCTTTTTCACAGCTTCATTACATTGAGCTGCTGTTGAGTTTGAAGCCTCAAGCATAAACCAATACATGAAGGTGCATTTTTTTTCAGATATTCTTCGTGAGTTTAATCCATCTGTGGTAGGTTTTTCTACTGGCAAAGGATCGCAGAGCACAGCTAATGCTTACCTGAACCAAGCTGTGGCAGGCGCACGTTCTGAGTAAGTACTGTGTGTGTGTGAGAGAGCGAGAGTGAGAAAGAGAGATCATATTATCAGTAAAAACCAAACAAAAACAAAATACAAAAGCAGAACAGCCAAACACAAAAATAAATTTGCTCAGCAGGACAAAAATTTTGGGAGAAAAAAAAGAAGGTGGTTAAAGAGAGAATTTTTTGCGGTGCTGCATATTATAGTATTATAGTCGGGGTGTAGCCAAGCAGGAAGCCATGTCTCTTGTCATAGTCAGCCATGCTTCTATCACAGGAAGGCACAGATGAAAGTCTTCTCTGCCAGACTGTAGGTAGTGGGCAAGCAGATATGAATGGAAATAGTTTGTTTATATACCCATATAGAACTGTAATGGCAATTAACCACACTCTGAATTTTGCCTAGAGAAATCACCATTAATTGATAAGGAAAAAAATAACAGAGTTGTTGTTGTTTAGTCGTTAAGTTGTGTTCGACTCTTCGTGACCCCATGGACCAGAGCACGCCAGGCCCTCCTATCTTCCACTGCCTCCTGAAGTTGGGTCAAATTCATGTTGGTCGCTTTGATGACACTGTCCAACCATCTCATCCTCTGTCGTCCCCTTCTCCTCTTGCCCTCACACTTTCCCAACATCAGGGTCCTTTCCAGGGAGTCTTCTCTTCTCATGAGATGGCCAAAGTATTGGAGCCTCAGCTTCAGGATCTGTCCTTCCAGTGAGCAATCAGGGTTCATTTCCTTCAGAAAGGATAGGTTTGATCTCTTTGCAGTCCAGGGGACTCTAAAGAGTCTCTTCCAGCACCACAATTCAAAAGCATCAATTCTTCAGTGGACAGCCTTCTTTATGGTCCAGCTCTCACTTCCATGCATCGCTACTGGAAAAAGCATAGCTTTGACTATGTGGACCTTTGTTGGCAAGATGATGTCTCTGCTTTTTAAGATGCTGTCTAGGTTGGTCATCACTTTCCTCCCAAGAAGCAGGCATCTTTTAATTTCATGGCTGCTGTCACCATCTGCAGTGATCAGGGAGCCCAAGAAAGTAAAATAACAGAGTACCAGTATTCAAAACCAGGAAAAGAGGTTTCAGTGAGATGAGAAAAAAATAAAATAAAAAAGGAAAATCTTAGGGCTGGCATTATTGTTGGGCAGGATGAAGTGGCTGTTTCATTATGTTTGGGGTGATGGCTACTGTTGTCCAGAAGTCTCCCCATTTGAATTAAGCCTCTTTGCATGCCCTTCTGTGTGCACTTGCTTTTGTTTTGTTTTCCCCCTCCCTCAAGGAAAGGACTGTGGCAGTTTCATCTGCAGAAAATAAGAGGGTTTTTCTTTCTTTTTGAAAAATAGGGATCTCACGTGCATGCATGCATGTGTGTTATTCACAGTGTGTACTTTACACAGTGATACCACATAATAACAGTAATTTTGTTCTGGGGTGATCGCGCACAATAGCAGAGTGCCGAGCTGATCACTCTGGCAGTTATCGTCTTCATCACTGATTTTTGAAAGGCATTATCTCAGCTGGCAGAGTCCTTGCTGTTATCTATTCATTGGCACACAATAACATTTATGTTTTCCCCACCAAAGGCAGATTATTAAGTAACAAAGCAGCTCTTCCTGAACAGGCTGTGCTATTGAAGATGCACATCTCTTCCCTTTGGCCTGTTTCACTGTCATTTTTCAGGACTGAACTTTGCACTCTGACAATCCTGTTCCCTAAACAGCAGCCAAGCGTTGAGTTATCTCCCTGCCTCTTGGGAACCATGACTGGTTTTTTGAGGCCCTTACAAGATTTCATGCAAGGAAACCACCAAGTAGATTCTGATGTAGCAATGCCACAGAAGAGGCATGTCAAGTGGACCTCCTTCTCCAAGAGGCAATAGACTATTCTGTTACAAAAGAGGGAAAGTGGAGGCAGCTGCTACTCCCCCACCCCCAAGAACCAGCAATTCAGAGTAGAGCTAGAAAAGTGATATTTATGGACTATCCTTCTGAGTATCCCAAAGTGAGGATGGGGATAACTCTGAGAGGTGTGTAGTCAAAGGAATGTTTCTAAGCTCTGGGCCAGAGGTCAGTGATGGTTCTCCTCAATGAGTTGAGAGCAGGGAGCTGAGATTTGTTAGGTGACCAAGAATGCTGCTGGCCTTGTCTGTGGTAAAAAGCAGGAAAGCCTAATATTATCCTAATGTATACTGTATTTCCCCATCATTAGTAAGGTCTTAGAGGGTAACACATACATTTTGGTTGTTTCACAACACAAAGCAGTTCCTTCCAAATAATCTCCTGTAATAGCTTGCATAAAAGGACTGGAAGGAGAAACATACAAGCTTGAGATTCATCACAGCTGGTGCATAGGGAATGTACCTCCCCACTTCGGCCTAAGATGGACACCCAAGGAATTTCTTAGACCCACCTACCACAAGTGGGTGTGTACCATAGGGGGCTTGTGTGATGCTCCATTTCAAAATTTGGAAGTGGGGGTTCAGATTGCTCAGATCCCCAGTTTAGGAGAGGAGATGGGGCCTGGGCAGGTAGCTGGCAAGCCAGATAGGAAGCCCATCTGGACCAAGGTCCAGAGCTTCTCCATGCCTGCAAAACTAAACTAAATCAGTGCAACATCCAGAAACAAAATAACATGTGCTTCTTCATAACCCTTGTTGTACTGCTATACAGATTAAAACAGATTTAATTAATCAGTGAATCATTTAAACTGTAAAGGACAGGTAAGAAGCAAATGTAAAAAGTGTCAGAAATAGGTTTGGAATCCTGAATGCAGCTTTTCAGTGACTATCGCATAGAGACAATTACAATAATCAGTGCAAAGAAATAGAGAACAACAAAAAGGGGGGGGAATCTGAAAATGATATAATTTGCAAATTACATTTGCTGAGAAAAGCTCCTCCTGGGATAATAATGTGCTTTCATCAGCTAAGGAATTTCCTTTTCCAGTGCTGGTTATCTGTAACACATAGTTCAGTCCTAAGAAAGTGCACTGTGGAATCAGGACAAGATTCTCACCCTGCCATAGGTTTTCTCCTTAACAGTCAGCCAGAAAAGTAATTCATGTGCTGCTGATGATGTTAAAAGAACTGTATCAAAGCATTCTATAGGCTTGGTTTCTGCTGAGTTACTTGGAAGAATAGGCTGATGGAAGGCTCATCAGGTCTGTTGGTTCTGTAAAACTGGGCCTTCAAACACCTCAGAGTCCGGGACGGAAATTCAAATGGACCTTGAGAAATTGGAGGATCAGCCTATGAAAGTATACAAGAGACTTTTTTTAAAAAAATAAGTATTGTATACTGAAAAGAGTGGACGGTGGGGAGAGGAACCCGAAAGCATAATTACAAAATGAGTGTAGTATTGGAATTGGCTAGACTGTAATAGTGTTGAGAGTTGAAGTTACACTGAATCATGAGGTGAATGAGAAGCAATTCTGGTGAGAAGCACAATAAAACACTGGTGGGTTCCAGTCACTTTTCTCATTCTTCTCTGAATCCTAAAAAAAATATCTCCATTTCATGGAAAAAACATTGTTATATGCCAGCTTCTGTGGAAACTGTTGACCTACACAGGGTGGTCTCTGCCCACATCAGTTATCGTGCTGGCTGTAGGATAGCACAAGTAGCAGCTGCAAAGAAATTAATTCTGAGTTTTCGGTGCAACTTACTGATAGGGCCATCTGAAGAAAGCCTTTGTCTAAGGTGAAGGAAAAGCCCTGTCCTAAGCAGTTATCATGGTGGCTGTAGGATAGCACAAGTAGCAGCAGCAAAGAAATTAAGTCTGAGTTTTCAGTGCAACTTACTGTTAGGGCCATCTGAAGAAAGCCTTTCGTCTAAGGTGAAGGAAAAGCCCTGTCCTAATTCCACAATCATAAGCCAGTGGTACTGGCAGCTGAATTTGATCCTAATAGTCTAGTGATCTGCTTTTGCACATGAGAGAGAAACTGCAAGCATGGCATTGCAGTTCTATGTGCACAGCCCCTTGTAGGCTCATACAGCAACCCTCACACTGCCCTGCATGAGGAATGCCGAGAATATGCAGGAATGTGCTATGTGGAGATCACTGGCAGCCTGTGGTGCAGGTGGTGATGGAGTAACTCATCCTACAACATTTGGGTGAGACAAGCACATGCTTGCATAGATCATGAGCTACTGGTGGTACAGGTAGGTCCAGATGGCAAGTCTGTAAATATACACCAAGTGCAAGCTGTTCTGTGTGCAGAAGGAGGCACCGTGGTAGCAGCTCATTTATCTGTCTAGACTGGCTATCTGAATATACAGACAGATTTTAACTTTGCATGAGCTGGCTTTCTGTGCACTAATCTACAGAGTGATACTCTGTATTAGCCTCCTGGCCATCATATGCATCCATTACCATGACATTCCAGATTACCATGTTGTACACATGCTCTTTCACACACACTTCCATCTATGGACTTAACCTTCTTTGAATTGCATTACTTTTCAAAGAGACAGCTGCGTTCCAGCATGTACTTGAAAAGAAAACCAACATTATTCTTACAATTATTTTTTTTCAAACTAAGGAATTGATTTCAGCATGCCACCCAGAGTAGACCTTAGGCAGGGTAGAAATCTATTAAAATAAAATAAAAATAATAAATGAAATTAAATAAGCTTAGTTCTCCATGTTCCTTAGAAGCACATTTCCAAATCATCATGATCCTCTGATGTAAAATTCTGATACCTTTCTTTATGTTCATGTTCTTCATATTTAGGGACCTCTCGTCTCAAGCAACAAGACTAATAGAATTGATGAAAAGTGATCCTGTGAGTTACTGTTTTGGGGATTTTGGTTTTTATTAATTGTTTACCTTACAGAGGTGTGCACAAGGAATGGGAAAAGGAAGCTCAGATCTTTTGGAGGGAATCAGGGGTTGATACCTTTAACCAATTAATGAAGAAGATAAATGATTCAAAATATATTTAAAGGCATTCCAGTTTAATTGGCAACATATTCTCTTCTTTTAAAAACTCTGCTCTTGTAATATTACTGACAACAACTAGAGACAAGGGCTAGTATTCTGTTGCCTAAAAGTGGGCCAGAAATTAAATTGTCTAAGCAGTCTCCTGTTCCAGCAAGTTGCCCACTGCATCCTCATTCTTGCTAGGTTATGAGGTTGGCCACACATCTATTCACAAAATAGGGAGCATCTCATGGTTGCGGGGGATGTTTGTGTGATTTCCCTCCCATCCCATCTATCAGAAATGAAACTCAGCTGCTCTTTCACTCTCATACAAAAGGCAAACCTCCTTTGAAGAGGACTAGCTGCAATATATGCACATATCATTTAAAGGCAGAGTATGGTATTATTCAAAGTGCTGTTGGTTCAGTCATATGCCCATTTATGCAGAGTTAATCCATCATTTTTAATTGGTTCAAATGGAGTTGCTAAATTGAATCTTCATGGGGCGACCACCCTATTGGAGTTTCAGATAGGGGAGGGCCTTGCTGAGTTTTGCTGCCAACTGAACTTCAATGGAGTAATACCATAACCTTTTCAAAATAACCTGCAAAGCGATGGGCAGTTTTAAAAAATGAAAGCAGCTAGAACAAAAGTGCCATTGCAGGGGGAGCAGAGGGGAGGGGAAGGGAGAGTGAGCTCTGACAGGGCAACTGCTGTGAATAACTGGGAATGCCCATATATCTGGATCTGTGGACTCTGGGGGTTGTCTCTGAGAACTGACCTAACATGTTCTACTAGGTGAGGTGTTATGGCAAGGATTCTGCAGTATATAAGACAGGAGGAGACTTGGGGTCACCCATAGAATAGATGTATTGGAAGGACAACTTTCAACCTTTAACTGTTTGACATTTTACAGCTGCACAACAAACCTAAGATTAGCTTGTGCCTTCCCCCAAGGAATCCTGGGATGTAGTTTGGTGAGGAAGGTGAGATTTCAAGGAAGCCCAGTTTCAGGAGAAAGGGAGTTGACTGCTGGTTGCGTAAATGCCCTTTCCATGTCATATAAATGTTTTAAGTAGCTGCCACTAGGACAATGTTTTTGGCCATTTAAAGTGAAATTATCACTGCACATGGCGCTGCGGCTGCCAGGTGTGCTCCCACAATCGCTCCTACATCTGTGAGGAAAGAAAGGGTGAATATCACCACACACTGGATATTGCAAGCTCCTGAATCTGGCAGGCCAAATAATTAAGGCTGTTTCTAAGCCTGCATATTACAAGTTGCATCGTAATGCTGCAGCCTCAATTTCTATAGGGTTACTTGGTCTGATAGCTTGCTGTTATTTCATGACTTGTATATATATCTCAGCAGGATATTGAGGAGAGGATATTTAACTAAATTAAATCGATGGTCTTCTTGCCCTGGCACTCATGACTACTAGACATTCTCCAGAGGCTTGGGAGAAAAAACATCTGCTATCCTTTCACAGGCAGCTTTTGAGAGAGAACCTAAAGGTTTACACATGTAAATTACATCCCTTGTTAATTCAACTTGAGTCCTTCAGTAAAGATGGGCATATACATATCTTAAGCAATTACAATCCAATACTTTGGGCCTGCTTATTAAAAGATCTGCAGCCCAGCTCTTAATATGTCAGTTAAAAGAAAGAGAGAATAACCTGACTCTTAGCAATTAAAAAACAACAACAATTCACATTATGCTAATATCTTTATCGGGCTGAAGCAAAAATGACACAGAAATGTAGCACAGTATACATCCGATGAGACTGTAGTAGCCTAAATGCTTTGTTGTAGCTATTGGTGTTGAAATAGGGCATTGCAGGCTGAATCTGTGAGTTCTTATTTTATGTAACTGCGTGGCACGAAAAGACCTCATTTAAGATTACTGCCCTGGTTTCCTAGGTTTTGTGCAAGTCCGAGAGAACAAGCTGACTGTGATCCTGAAAGAACCATTTAATTAATCCTTTCTAAGCTATTGATTCAAGCCCTTTCCCCCCCTTCTTGCTTTTCATTATGATTCTACTTTTTTATGCAGAATATAAATTTCCAAGAAGACTGGAAGCTCGTAACACTCTTCATAGGTGGAAATGACTTGTGTGATCATTGTAAAGATCCTGTAAGTTTCTAAAGATTTAAGAGCCATTTTAGATTTTAGAGCCATATGTATACATATCCACGGACATGTGCACAGGATCCGGACTCAGTCCTACTGACTTACGATTGGGTTCAGTCTGTTGGCAATGGGAAGACACATGCCAGCCAGTGTGGTATAGCAGCTAGAGTGTTGAACTAGGATTGTAGAGACAGATGTTGTGTTGAACTCTCTGCTCAGCCATGAGTTTGAGAGGGAAAAACACACACACTATTTTTGCCATTTTAACAGACTAAATATTCTTCTTTTTACCACTAATGATCTCATATATTCATGCCAAGTTTCTGAGCACACAGAAAACTCAACAGGAATTACATGTGGTTACACGCGGGCTGGCTCCGAAACATCTTTGATGGTAACACTGCTGGTGATATTTTGCTGAGTCTGTCTGTCTGTCACATCAGTCACTTTGGAACAGCAGCTGCTAGTTTGAAGATCGCACGCACTGTTATTGTACATATTTCACAGAGAGCAAAGATCTCTCAGACCAGCGGCAGTAACTGATATGTTTGAGTTAAACAGGAACACATATCCCAATCTTTCTACAAAACAGAGAGGTCATCAAACCAGAGGCTGCTATCACATCAGAGTATCTTGAGAACTTCCATCAACTTTATCATTGCTACTTCATTTTAAAGTTGGCCTTCTGTCAATAAAGCCAAATGACTAGTATAAATACCTAGATAACTGATAATAAATAGGCAAAGATAATGTATTTAGTATGCTGTGACTATTTTTGATCCAGGAAATCTGAAATCCTGTCACTTTGTCTGTATGCCATGCTGCAATCTTTCCAAATCATTTTAATAGTTTTTCAGTCTATCTGCATTCAGTTTGTGCTTATTAAACATTGTGTTACATGGGTTGCTTATAATTATTTGTTTTTTGCATCTTGGTGTCTTCTTAGTTGTTTAAACATTTAGACCATTCATATGTATATTTTAGTACACAATATTGTCTACTATAATAATACTGCTCTCATAGTATACAATGTTCTCAAACCCCTCTAATAACATACCTAAAGAAAGTAATTCCAGTTCCAAATTTATATAATTTTGAGGTGATATAACCAACAAATTTTGTATTTAATACCAGTAATAACTGAATAGGTTCCTAACAATAGAAGTTATCTTTTATAGGTTCGCTATTCCCCTGGGAATTTCACAAGAAATATACAGTCAGCTCTGGATATACTCCATAATGAGGTATTTAAAAGAAACATTGCTGCTTGGCCAGGGCAGAAAGAATAATAGGAATTTCAATAGGTCATTGTTGTTGTGTGCTATCAAGGTGCTACTGCCTTATTGCAGTCCTATAAATTGATGACCTCCAGAAAATCCTATCGTTAACAGCCTGCTTACATTATGCAAACTAACAGCCATGGCTTCCTTTGTAGAATTAATCCATCTCATGTTTAATTTTCTTCTCTTTCTACTGTGTTTCACTTTTATTTGCATTATTGTCTCTTCTAATGAGCTGTCTTGTTGTGGTATGTCTAAAGTATGATAGTTTCAGTTTAGTTATTTTTGCATCTGGTGACAATTCAAGCTTGATTTTGTCTAGAACTGGCTTATCTTTCTGGCAGCCCATAGTATCCATAAAGTTTTCCTCCAGTATCACATCATTGTCTAGCTTTCACAATCATATGCAGTAATCAGAAATGTTTGGTTTCCAGCAGCACATCCTTGTTTGTAAGAAAACAGGTTACTCTAGAATATTTATTCATTTTATTAATTATTAGAGGTTCACCCCATCCTTTCAACAAATTCCCATAACAGTTTGCACACAAATATATTTTTAAAAAACAGCAGATCTAAAGAGAGCAATATAAGCACATGACAGCAGAGGAAAAGCAGTTTCTGTCCTGAATTATGGAACAAGAACTAGTGATTATTGACTCCCTCACAGCTGATTACTATACATGGCTAGATGGACATTTGCTAAATTGTTCTGATCTTTTTCAACTGGAATACCCCTGATATGTATTGTGCTACACGCTGAATGGCAGATTGTAGAAAGTTCCTTGTTATGATCTCATACTTTTAAGGAGGGTTTTCCATACCAAGTATGGCGGTAGTGCATGCTTTTTTCCTGGACATAGTGCCCCATCTCATGCATCATTGTGTCTCCCTAATTTCTCATGACACAGGGTGATTTCAAGCAACTAAAAAGAAGCCTTTCTTTTTCATAACTGCCCTTTGCAGGAGTACTGTGTCCGTGAATTGTGTGGTACATCTCCTGCTGCAACAAAGAAAGGAGTAAACTTTGACAATATTTTTTCCTGTAAATTGAATTATATTTACGACTTTAAGAACTACTTACCAAAGGAGAAATTTTCATTTTCAACTAAAAGATATTAGAATACAGATGAAAAGAGGTGATTGGCAAGGAAGCTTTCCATTTATAAAAATCATTAAATGGCTTAGACAAAGCACAGAGGAAGGGACAGGAAAGGGATTAATGTTGTTTTTTTCTGTCCTTTTAAATGGAAATAAAATCAGTATAGATTATGCTGAACAGGATTGCTTGAAGTGTGATGTGGTCAATTCTTGCATGGGTATGTCAAGATCACCGCAAATGACATACTGTACCTCAAAGTGATCCTGTTCAGCATGGTCTAAACTGATCTAGGCCCAGATGATTGGACTACACACTGATAGTATCAAAATGGACTACTGTACTGTACTCTACGTGAGGCTTCCCTTGAAGCTGGTAAAGAAATTTCAGAGGGTCCAGAGTGCAGTGGGTAGGTCAGTTCCTGGTATGATGAAGTTTGACCAAATCACCCCAGTTCTGGTTTACCTGCACTGTTTACTGCCAGCTTCATGGTTTTAACATAAAGCCCTAAATGGTTTGGGTCCTTGATCATTTTCTGTCAAGTCTGACCTGGTCCAAACAGAGCTCACACATGATTGCTTAGGGGAGTACTGTTAAGAATACAATGCTCAGAATCTCCTAACCATGCTAACTGGGGGTTGCTGGGAGTTGCAGTCCAAAAATGTAACCTTTTCATGGTCTCAAGAACCACATGTGCTGGGAAATGGTTATTGCCTATTCCATTTTATATTTACCTCTTGGCAGGTCCCTCGAGCATTTGTGAACCTGGTGACGATCCTCCACATAGTAACTCTGAGGAAACTCTATCAAGAGAAGAGAGTCTACTGTCCCAGGCTAATTATGAGGTTTGAATTTGCATTTTAGTTTTTGCCACAACTAACCCCAGGCTAATTATGAGGTTTGAAATTAATTTGCATTTTAGTTTTTGCCACAACTAAGACATAGTTGTGCTGTCTCTGAAAACTAGGCATTTAGTTATGATCATTTGGACTATTACATTATGCGTATAATACACATTTACTCTGTGTTTTGGAGAAATACACAGACTTGGAGTGGAATGTAATCCAAAAACTTTCACTAATCTCTTAGTCTTCATGACTTCAATACTTTTATTTTTGTTGTAGATGAGCGACCCCACTCATAAAGCTAATAATTAGGGCAGAAATTGACCAGATAGGCGGGATATAAATAAAATAAATAAAAATAAAAAAAGTTACAAATAGGCTCGGTTGAGAAAGCAAAGAGGTGTGGCTGGCTCTCAAAAATATGGTACACACAAGAAATAAGGAAGAAAATCCCATCTGTTATGTCTACCAGAATGTGCATGTCTTGCCCCGCGAGGCCCAAATATTGGGAAAAGGCCTATAAAAGGAGTCAGCAAGAAAATATTTGGCATATTACTATAAAGAACAGTGTCCATCAGATAGATCGTATTAGTCACCTTGGGTGCCAGTTCTTTGGTCAGAAAAGTGGGACATATATCAGAGAGTATAGTTCATAGTGAATAAGAGGCAGTACATGGAGGAAGTAGTTAATGTCAAAGATAGTTCTGTGGCACATGGCATCAGACGACCATGTTAAGTTTTATTGCCATGCAAATTGAAATGCATTTTAATGGCAGTGATGCTAGTGCACACACAGAGTCAATATAAATCATGATGTGCTCAGCTTTGAGCCAAAACGGTTACTTGTCTTGCTTTGCTTACTTCAGAATTCCCTCCTATAATGAATCAGGGCATTTGAGAAAGATAGAAAAGGTCAGAGATATCTTGAGATAATCGTTTTTCTAAAGGATCAGAGAAGCTCTTCCTTAATCTCTCTTAGGCTCTTCTCCCAAGCATTGACAAGTTATTAGAACTGTGTGATGAGCCTATACTTGTGGCCAGTGACATTTGTTCAAGAGAAACTGCAGAGCAAACACTGAAAGGTAGCAGTTGCATCCCACATTTCCAAACTGAGGAACTGTTCCATGTTCATTAGAAAAGGACTGCTGATTGCACTGTAGGACTGAGGCTGGAAGAAATACAGAGGTGAACATTGCATGCTGAGAGGACATCAGGAAGGGAGAGAAAAATGCCCTTGTTTTAACTGACTGAGCCAGACAGAAGTCGTGTTCACATAGCAGGGTTGATTCTGCCACTGGAAAGAGTGAGGCAAAGATGCAGTGAACAGGAGTCGCAGCCTTTTCTCTCTGTTAGAAAGCAGAGTTGTTTTTCATATGGCATGCCCTGCACTCCCTCACCTATTCCATTCTACTCATTTGTGGACAATCATATTTTTTTTCCTATCAGCACTGAAGGGATATCTAACTGTCAGCCAGAAGCTACTCTTCAGTACACAAAATTAAGGGTGAGAGTACAATGTTGACCCTTAGCTCTGGCAACAATATGACCGGAAAGGGTAGAAGCTGAACAGTAGAAACGGAGCAGAAACACAATCTGTGTGCCCACAGAGTTTGCATGTGATATCTGCACACATTTAGGCCAGGAGAAACACTCCTCTCTCTTCATGTTTTCTGAACATAAACATTTTGGCAATTTCTCAAGTCTGAAGTAATTTCAGAGGATCAGCTTTTGTACAGTGAGACTTTCTGACTCGGGCTGTAACTAAGCAATTTGACTTGCTAGATACCTTCATCCTTAATTCCAAAGACATGAAGCTGGACTCTGGATTCTTGCTGTTGAGAGGGCGAGATCTGGCTTACCATCACTTTTGGTTATTTATTTATTTTTAGGCACTGGGATAGACACTGGGACTCAGCTCTTATTTTGATAAAAACTTACAGTCTCAATGTCCGAGGAACATACAAAAAATATCAACTTCCATTGTTATTGTACCCGAAGATGTGAGATTTGGGTCCACCAAGACTCAGGCTATACTAGTAAATAAATCTGTATAATAACTATAACAAATCTGTTAGTCTTAAAGGTGTCACTTGACTATGTTATATTGCTGCAACATATGATCACAAGTGTAGGAAAATAAAACATGAAGTGTTTCTCCATCTCCTGGTTTTTCATTGGCTGTAAGTGCTGACTGTGAAAGATATCTTAATTTCCACCTTAACTCATCCCAATATGAACCAGTTAAAAGTGGGAGAAGCTCTGATAGTAAAGAAGCTGGTGAACATCGATTTGCAATTTGGATACAATAATGTTGGGACTTTGAACCTCCTTATGCCTGAGGTGGAAAACACTTGGTGGTCAAACCAAAGGGTGCTTAGCTCCCTCTCTCCTCCATGTGCATCATTTGTATCAGACAGAAAGGCAGAGATATATGTGACCAAATTGACAAATGATGCGCTCTTCCCCACCACCACCTTTCCTATCTAGATCTCTGTGTACTTGTGTTTTGAACCCTGATGATGACTCTGCTGAAATTGAGCTGCTGGAATCTTTCAACAGAAGATATCAGGTAAGGATATACAGATGAACTAGAAGTAATATAATGAACTTCCTACTTATCTCTTTAAAATCTGCTTGCCAAATTCATTTTCTCAAGGGAAAGTTGCAAGCAACCATTAAATTGTAGTTTCTTTCATAAAGCAGCCATCATCACTCAGCTATCATGCAAAAAGCTTTCCCATCTCAACTCCCAATGGGAAGTAAACTGGCCAGTTAAAGCTTATTTCTTGGTAATTGCTATGTGAGTGGCTCATGTGAATTTGTCATGAGTAGATGATGTAACAGAAAAAAGGGAAACAGTCCTTGATTATTACTCTACTTTCTGAAGCATTATCAAGTGGCTAGACTTGTAGCAAAGGCTGGGAGTTCAGTTCCCCACTGTGCCTCCTTGACAGGGGCTAAACTTGATGATCTATAGGGTCCCTTCCAGCTCTGCAGTTCAAAGTTACTCTAAGATACTCTTTGCTACAGAAACCGACCCTTTCAAAAGAGCAGAGGCTCCACACTAAACTTGGTGCTATCTAGCAGTGATGGTTTCCCAGTAAAAAGAGCGTGTGAGCCCTGGAATAGTATTACATACAAATATATGCATTTAAATATCATATCTGTCTAAAACTATGGTAGCACCCTACATGTTAAGGCAGAGTACGCAACTTCCAGAGGTTCAGGGGCCATCTTGGAGGAATATAGTTGGCCATTTCAGGGCAATTAAAAAGGACAAAATGGAGGGCGAGGAAAGGGTGGTGGGGAGCTGCAGGGGGGGGCTAGAGGTTGCACACACTCTGCGGGATGCACTTTGCCCACTCTTGGATTAAGGCCAAGCCTGTGTCAAAGTACGTCATTTCATTAACTCAGGAACCACTATGCTAGCAGTTGGCCATGCACAGAGTTAACTGAGCAGTAATAGTAGTAGCCAAAACAGTTGTTATTGTGCAAAACAGGTTTTGGTGGGTTTTCTTACCTGCTAGCTGTTTGATTGGTATCATTTTATGTTTGCACCTCTAAAGGCAATCCAGGGTGGGTGGAAGATATGGCTGAGAGGTGACCTTCTGGGGTGTTTCTGAGTTCTGAATTATTTATTCATTTCCCAGGCGGTGGTATTTTCTGAATAAATTTGTAGTTGAATTTTATGTTTCATTCCTTTTTTAAAGGCTCTAGGAGCAGAGTGAGGCACATTATGCAGAAGCATATTTACATGGGCAATTTTAATTTTTAAAAAGTGTCAGAAATATTTTTCTCGTATTCAAAGGTTTCCCTGTTGTACTTGGCCTCCGTACATAGTGATGTCTTGTAATAGTATGGCTGCCTTTTCACTATGAAAAGGGACCACAGCTTGTACCATAATAGAAAAATGGTTAAAAAAATTATAAGGAGCAATCCAGTGTTATTTCAGTCTATTTCATTAGCCTGCCTTAAATAGAGAGAGCCCAAATTCAGACCTGTAGATTTCTGTTAGAAGCATGTTTAGTTTTTATTTTGTGCATTGCTGGAGAACAATGTGTTTTGTTGCTTTGGTACACACTGATCCCACAGGAACTGTTGAGCATCTATATCTGATGTTCCATCCAATCAGCATCACTGGGGAAAGGTAATTTTTCTTCAGAGTTGGGATCATTCACTCACTCCAGTGACAGATCACTGGCTCACTCTTAACGTCCAGGCACAACAGAATTTCCCCTAGGAGGCACTTCAGAGTGTCTCCATATAATGAACATCAGTCTTGCCATGCTTGCATTCATTGGTAAGATTTACTGAATACAGAGGGTTTTATTACTTATGTTCATCTACGTAGCTTATTTTGTTCTTGACTCAACCGGATCTTTCAAAGCAATAGGTACTGAGTAAGCTATACCAAACCTAGCTAGCATTGCTTTCAGTGGAGATGCTGTCAGTGGAGCCCTAAGGTGCTCTGAATCATTAGACTTTTGACATAATTATATTTGCTGAAATTAGGATTGATGGTTGTACCTGGTCAAAAGTCTCATTATATTTGGATCCATTTTTTTCATGTTGTACCTTGAGCAGCAGATTTTCCAAGACACCTGTTCCCTTCAGGCCCCCTATATGACGTGTGGGGACTCTGACGAATGGGTCAGTCTGTATTGCAGGAGGGAGAGGGAATCCCTGAAAGAGGTAAAGGCATGAGCAGAGTCTTTTGCCTCTACGGTAGCTGGGTTCTGGATGTCACTCAATGGAAATACTGCTCACAACATGACATTGCACAGGGAATGGTAAATGTTCATTTTGCCCATTTATCGGGACCAAATCATCTTAGCTGTCTTAGAAGTTGGAGAACCTTTGTCTGAAGATTGGGATGGAAAATCCCAACCATGCTGCAAGAGATGGTGCTTGAGATCACATCCCTCCCAGATGATGTTTGTAGCCCAAGTCTCAGCTCACTTCACACAAAGAAACCTGGCACAGACAGGTTTTTTTTGGGACTCTTATCCATACTTCTTCGGCAGTATCCATGAAGTGATGGTGCTCAGCATGATGGGATAGAATTTTCTCCATGAAAGCTTGCAATTTGTTTGGATTTTTTTTTAAGTGGTCTGATAAAAAGTACCACCCTGTTCTTACATTTGTGTAACCTTAAGGACCACATGGTCTTAAAGTGGTCTGATAAAAAGTACCACCTTACATTTGTGTTAACCTTAAGGACCACATGGTCTTTTCCTAATTCTTGGCTATCTATAAATCCTTCAAACCCAAATCTCTATTTGCTGTTGTAACATGGAGAAAAGCATACAGCAGCTTCTTCAGTGAATACTGGCAGAAAGGACAAAGAGGCTGGAAGAGAGAGAGGAGCTATGTTTGCTCACTAAGTATTAGGTGACCTGGTTAGAGACAAATAAGGATTAAGGCAAAGGATTCAGGAAGGACATGTCTTTCAGCTTTGAAATGTGGTTCAGTAGGACAATGAACAAAAGCAGTCTGGAGAAGGGTAGGAGCAGCAACAGAAGAAAGGAGACCGGAGAGAAACAGCCGGAAAGAAGGCTGTGGTTTCAGGTTCAGGGTCAGACTGCATGGGGAGACATGACTAGACCTCCCAACTTTTAAAACCAGAAACTAGAGTGTGAGGGGCAGGGTTCACAGTTTTTCCAGAGTAGCTACATGTATGTGTGTCATGCTTTCCTTCCTAATCAAAATTGCACCCCCAAGAAAATACTATTGAGAAAGGTGGTTTTAGAATGTTACAGCAAATTCCAACAACTTGTATTGTCATTGTGATAATACAAGGGTGGTAAGATAAAAAGAAGGAAGGGGTTACTGTCTCTTTCCTCACCATTTTGGCTAATGGAGGTTGCCAATGCAATGGTGAGAAAAATGGCAACTACTGAAATTCCAGCTTTTGTGCTGTAATTAGTTTCTGCAGGAGTCTGTAAATAAAGCTCTACATGTATAGAAGCCTCCCCAGCTGTGATTCCAACAGCTGTCTCCATTGCTGCCTGCAACTTTCCTGCGTCTCTCTGTTGCTTTGAGTCCAGGAAGGGAGGAAAGCACATAAACCACTGTGCAATGCTGAGAGAAAGCTGGAAGGGGCTCTTGCAGGGGCTTGTAGCAGCTGTCAGAATATTAGCTGCTGCAGGCACCCAAAGCCTTCCCATAACATGGAGGCTCATTCCTATCTTCCTTTGTGAACCAAAACAGTGATGTAAAACTAATTTGTGCTCTACCCCATATCTCTTCCTTGAGGTAATTGTTTCCTGTTTCAGGTTCAGCAGCCGTCGTGTAGTGCATCAGGGAAGAAACAATTACTATGGATTTTGTTTTGTTAGGAGGAAACTCACCGCCTAATTCAGAGTGGAAGATACAACACAAGGGAAGATTTTACGGTGGTTGTGCAGCCGTTTTTGGAAGAGGCACAAATGCCTATGACTTCGGTAAAGTACAAACCATACATTTACATGGACCCTTTTTAGATTCATTTGCTTTAATTTAGGGGTGATGGACCCTCCATAATTACAGAGCATTGGCTATTCTGGTTTGTGTACATAGGCATTGTAATCCAAAGAGTTTGGAGGGCACGGGGTTGTCTCCAACTGCTTTAAGCAGCTGCATTGCAACCAAACATCTGATGTTTCTAGTCCTCTTCCACTAGGAATAAAATATCGGAGCCCATCTTTTCTTTGGGCCTGCGGACACTAAATATTTTCCGTTCTCTACTTCTATTTGTAGCGTATGATGTGACTTAACCAGAAACATTGGTATGTGTCTGTGCACGTGGAGAATCAGGCATGCATATTTATACAT